TATATATATATATATATATATATATATCCTGAATAATTCACTTGAACGATACACGTTTCTACAAAAAAATGATTCACGTTAAATATATGAATCACTATACAAATTACTAATCCATTCTCGCGATTAACGAATCTGCGCGGAAACGACAGACCGATATCTGCATCCCGAGAGAATTCTTGCATGGAAAATTTCTTAAAAATACGATCCTAACCGACTCCTCTAAACGCTCCACGTATATAAAAGAATATATACGTATATATAGTATACATAGGATAACGCTTGAATACATAATCGTCCATATAAGCTCGCGAGACGATACGCAAGAAGTATGAACGTGGGTGTACGACCCTGGAGGACGTAGGCTGGGCGAATAGGCGACTCGCTTGCTTCGTGCCTTTTATGTAATTCTCCCCTCACCCCTTCACCAGGCCAATCACGGTCACGTACGCAACGTTTGTTTCGACGAGACCGCAAAGATGCGACAGAAATGACTTTCCTCGGTCCGTTTTCGAAGGGCGGTTGTTCGATGGCGGAGGCGCGCGCGATCGGGAACAGATCCGTTGGTAACACGGTTGAGAACAGGTACCGAATCGAGAGACGCCCACGATCGCGAGAAACGGGCCAACCGATCGAACGAATATCGCTTATCGAGACCGTTTCCTCGATTACGTTATTTCTACGAGACGTTCGACGTACGCGCGTTCCACCGAATTCATATAATCACGCGATAGATGTCGTGCGATTGGTAAGAAAACGAATTGGAAAAAAAAAAAAAAAAAAGAAAAAACACGTGCAAAAAAAGATAGCATAAAATTATTCCTGCGCTTTTTTATTCCCATTGCGAAAATTCTCGACGTACGTATCGATATCATCCCCGCGATGAAAATATTAACATATATCATCGCATTATTTTTTTACCGTTAAAAATTCTTGGAGGCGAGACGAAAATTCCGAAATGGAAAAACCGAAGAAATCGGGAAGCGGTGAAGAAAGAAGCTTTTTCAACGAATGATACGGAGGAGAGCGAAGGCGAAGAGAGGAAAGGAGAGAGAGAGGATCCTGCCTCCGCCTCCTCCGGTTCTCGCAACTATACAACGTGGAGAAGAGGTCGACGGGTCGGCCGAGAGAATCAATAGTATTTTCTACGCATTCGGATCGATACCGGGTTCCGTTGCTTTCGCGCGCAAATCTCGATATACGAGTGTATATGTACACGTATATACATTCCTATATACGCGCGATGCGATCGTATACCTATAGCGAGCGCGCACACTGTACGTGTATTCATCGCGAGCGTTGTACATTCTTGTATATTCGGTATAAATACGCGGGATACCGATGCACAACCTTGCACGACCTTGTTAATACCTTGAATGAATGGTTTTCACGGTGAATGGCACGTCATCATGGTGCAGCATGGTCACACACCAATGTGATACATTGAGAACGATCGCGATCGAAGATTTCTGAAACGTCGTGGCGCGCGATACGTTTCGATACGTAGTCGCCTCCCTTCGTCTTTCGACATCGACTCGACTCAACCTCGACTTCCCGATAAATGGATTACGTAACGAAATCGTGCAAACTCTCGGCCGTTTTATTAAACCGGCCGTAGAAAAGTGGAAGTCGCTACGCGATCGACGCAGCCATGAAAATCACGATGGTATTTATCGATCTGCCCGCGTCCTTCGACCCTTTTTCCACGCGCTTCTCTTTTGTTTCTCGTTCGTTAAAAACCGTCGAAAACAGGGGGGGGGGGAAGGGGGAAAGAGTCGGAGTTTCGTGTAACGATTGCGTCATACGCGGTAAACGCGGGAAAAAAAGAAGGAAAAAAAAAAAAAAATAACGAGGATAGACCGCGGTAAAAGGACGTTGTAATAGACTGAACACGTTCCGTCTATTCCAAAACAAATTTTGACCCGTAATGACGAGAATGGTTTTAAGCGAGTTAGAGGTAGAGTTTACACGGAAAGAGAAATCGAGAAATTTGTCGAGAAGTTGTACGAAGTAATACTCGTGTTTACTCTTGTCGAGGAATTATCTAACGTGATTACGTCAAAAATTATTGAATCAGCTGTAGTAAGTTAATTCTTCCGTAGATATTAATAATAATCTGTTTGGTAATAACTGAAGAAATATTTTCGATCGATAGTTTCGATCGAGACGAAATATATATATATATATATATAGATATCACCGCGAAAGATTAGCAAATTTCTAGCTATTCAATGAACCGTGCATGAAAGTCGATCGAAGAAGGAAACGAGACGAGAGGGGATTGAACGCAAATGAAGACCGTGACAGTGTACACAATTGCGTTCCTCGAAAGGTGCACATACAACCAGCATCGAACCACCTCTCTTAGTTATATTTGTTTAGTCGCGCAGGCACACGGATCGGATCGTGTTCGACCAGTTTTCGAGCGAACACGAAAAAACCTGACGCTTCTATACACAGGGTCGTCGCGTTAACGAAACGAAATATAAAAGTGGTCTCTTTCTTTCTAAATTGGCGATCGAAACGTCATCGTCGATTCCATCCAACATATATTCAGGTTATCAACAACGGGCGGCTGTGGAAAATACGCTCGTGTCTCTATTTAAGCTTTAGCAATGAACACTCTTCGCGGTATAATTAAGCCGTTAATTACTTCCTATCCTCCCGTATCATTCTTCTCATTAAAGGCGGTATCATGATGTTCTAACGTGTGGAAGAGCGGTCTCTAACGCGCCGATTAACGAACGTTGTGTTTCGCTCTAATAACGGGAAATCGAGAAATTCGTTGAATAGGAAGCACGAAAGCGAATCGTTGGGGATCCAACGATCACCGTACACCGTATTCGTCGTTCGATCACGCGTGCGATCGTGCTACACGCGGACGATAAAACTCGATTAAACGATATTTACGACTTCTCTCTATCGAATCGAGTTGCACGACAAAGAGACGTCTACGACGCGAATATAGTTTTGTCTCTCTATACCATTGAAACATTTTCATTCGATAGATAACGTTCGAACGAACGACGACGATTACAAATCGACTAAATGTTGCACAATAATAAATTACCAGCAAAGAGCGGAGAAAAGATGGGAAAGAGCGCACTCTATCATCTGTACACGAACTTCGTTCCGTTAACCGTATTCCCTTAACCATCACGGTCACCACCATCATTATCGACATCGTCACAACTTCGAATTCTTATTTCGTCCGACGTCATCGTCGTAACCGACCCTATTGTTCCTAGGTTATACACGCCTATGTATATTCATCGTACATAACTACAAAGCCGTACATAACTATGCGGGACAAAAACACTTGCGTACTTGTATCGCGTTGCTACGACTGGTCACATGACACGCACACATTTACCCACGGAGTACGTCCTAGGAAACGAGACGTTGATTTCGTCTCCTTCCAACGTTTCAGTTGACCCCGAAAACGACCAAGTTTCCGCGATGAATAGAGAAGAGAAATATCCTCGGAACGAGCGTCGCAACGGCGGAAAGAATCCGTATATATTTCCTGTGTGTATATTTCACGTTACGAAGATAGGAGAAGATAGGACAGAAGAAGGATTCGAGAGTTTCTCGGGCGCACGGAACATTTCACGGCACGCGTGCCCGATCGTAATTTGTGTTGTAAACAGTACAAGATGTGGGCCATCATCGATGACACCGCGAGATGTTGCGTTGCGTTGTACACACGTTGCCACGATCTATGCGCGCATGCGCACCCTAGCACGCGCACCAACACCAGCGTAACCGGTAGCGACTAATCGAATCTACGCGCACATACGTGTAACTACGAAACACGTACACTCGTGCACGCACTGCCTGTTGCTCACGCACGTGCGTGGCTGCAGCGTGTTCGTATGCGTGTCACGC